GAAGCAGAAACTTTCTTAGTTAATTCCGAAATCTAAGCCAACTGTGCTTTAGGTAGTTGAACATGTTATTACTCCAACCTCGTGAAAGTGACACGTTTTCATTTTCGTCAAAAACAACTTTATATCGAAGCCTGCATTTCAAAATAAAAGCCCCCACTGGACCTAGGATTAGCAATAGCATTACACGTTAAACTATACTAATTGATTACATTATCAATAATTCATTGATATGAGGTGCTAAATTGGGTCCACTTGTTTTCAAATTAAGTGTACAAAACTGGTGGTCACAACTAAAGCTGAAATACGACCAAATAAACAAATAAGATTGTATTGCTCACCACTCATTCATTCACACATCCAAAAGTTTTTCTTACATCCAAGTATGTACACAATTTTGTCTATAAGCAGCATTAGGTGTTGTCTTTCATATAAGTAACAGAGGAGATACCAGTCAAAACTATTTGCAACAGCAAAAAACTTCAGGGACTCCAGCTTCTTTTTACCCCATTCCTAGTTATAACAAGCTAGCGTAAACAAAGTGCAAAACCAAAAAAGCACTGCTTTCTTTTCAAGTATTAATCAAATTCAATAAAACTAAGGATGGTCTATAATACTTCCACAATTGTCAGCTTACAATATGTAGATATGATATATACAGTGCTGTGAAAAAGTATTTACCCCCTTTCTGATTTTCTCTATTGTTGCTACTTAATGTTATCAGATCTTCAACCAAAACCTAATTAAATAAATGGAACCTGAGTTTACAAAAAAAATACATTTTTTAATTTATTTAATTAACAAAATTATGTAACACCAAATTCCCCTGTGTGAAAAAGTAATTGCCCCCTTACACTCAATAAGTGGTTGTGCCACCTTTAGCTGCAATGACTGCAAACAAATGCTTCCTGTAGTTTTTGATCAGTCTCTCACATCGCTGTGGAGGAATTTTGGCCCACTCTTGCATGCAGAACTGCTTTAACTAAGCGACATTTGTGGGTTTTCAAGCATGAACTGCTCGTTTCAAGTCCTGCCACAACATCTCAATTGGTATTAGGTCTGGACTTTGACTAGGCCATTCCAAAACTTCAAATGTGTTGCTTTTTAACCATTTTCATGTAGACTTGATTGTGTGTTTTGGATCATTGTCTTGCTGCATGACCCAGCTGCTCTTCAGCTTCCGCTCACAGACGAATGGCCTGACATTCTCCTGTAGAATTCTCTGATACAGAGCAGAATTCATGGTTCCTTCTATTAAGGCAAGTCGTCCAGGTCCTGAGCAGCAAAGCATCCCCAAACCATCACACGACCACTACCATGCTTGACCGTTGGTATAAGGTTCTTACTGTGGAATGCAGTGTTTGGTTTTTGCCAGGCATAATGGGACCCATATTGTCCAAAAAGTTATACTTTTGACCCATCTGTCCATAAAACATTCATCCAAGAGTCTTGATGATCATCCAGGTGCTTCCATGTGATTTTTGGCAAACTTGAGTCAACATTTTGGACGAGATGAGTTCCATTATGTCTGGTGAAAACCAAACACTGCATTCGAATGTAAGAACCTCATACCAACGGTCAAGCATGGTGGTGGTAGTGTGATGGTTTGGGGATGCTTTGCTGCCTCAGGACCTGGACGATTTGCCTTAATAGAAGGAACAATGAATCAGAGAATTCTACAGGAGAATATCAGGCCATCCGCCTATGAGCTGAAGTGCAGCTGGGTCATGCAGCAAGACAATGATCCAAAACACACAATCAAGTCTACATGAAAATAATAAGCAACACATTTTAAGTTTTGTAATGGCCTAGTCAAAGTCCAGACCTAATCCCAACTAAGATGTTGTGGCAGGACTTGAAACAAGCAGTTCATGCTCGAAAGCCCACAAATGTCGCTGAGATAAAGCAGTTCTGCATGCAAGAGTGGGCCAAAATCCCTCCACAGCAACGTGAGAGACTGATCAAGTCATTGTAGCTAAAGGTGGCACAACCAGTTATTGAGTAAGGGGGCAATTACTTTTTCACACAGGGGAATTGGGTTACAAAACTTTGTTAATAAATAAAATAACTGTCCATTTTATTTATTTATTTGTAAACTCAGGTTCCCTTGATCTAATATTAGGTTTTGGTTGAAGATCCGATAACATTCAGTATCAAAAATAGAGAAAATCAGAAAGGGGGCAAATATTTTTTTTTACAGCACTTTCAAATGATCTCCAAGATAAGGCTTGATAATTAGTGTAACAATGGCAACCATTGGCTTTAGATAGTGAAACACAGCACAAACACAAAAGCACTCACGTATGTAAAAGAACACATGGGAACAGTCATTTGTAACATAGCCATGGGATTCTGAAAAAGTCTGGTTTGTATGAGCTCTCATGTCATGCATGACTGGGACCTTCTCTTCAGTTGGAGACTGGTCACTCCACATTTCTTATTTTGTTCAGGGAAGAAATTATAATAACCATGCTGTATATTCATATTCACATTTAGAAAATAAGGCGTTTTCACTTCATTCACATCGGAAAATAGTCTTGCATGACCTCTGCTTCAGTGGCCTGCACTGTTTTCAACTAGTGTAGTTTCTGCTCCCCTGGCTAAAGCCTGCTTGATTGTACTGCTGGCCACCCTGCTGGAAGAACTGTTCAAACTGTCCTCCTTGGTTAAAATTATGACCCCCTCGCCCTCCCCAGCCTCCCCCCTGTCCTCTTCCCCTACCATCACCTCTTCCTCTATCACCTCTTCCCCTACGACCCCCTCCACCACCCCTGTCCTGGTGGCGACCACCATCTTGATCGTGGTTGTCGTGTTGGTAACCACCTCCTCGGCCTTGATGCCCTCCTGCAGGGTAACCAGGGCCCTGAAAGCCCCCTTGATAGTTTTCAGCCCCGTAACCTCCTCTCCCCCCACCCCCTTCCTGGTAATGGCCCTGGTAACCACCACCTCTTCCTCCGTCCGACCAGCCTCCCTGCACTTTTCCCCCTCTGGCGCCCCCGTCCTCCACCCCTCCCGCCCCTTTCATAACCCCCTCCTCCACGCTCGTAACCCCCTCGGCCCCCCTGAGAGTGCTGGTCGTAGCCCCCCATGACGCCTCCTCGTCCACCTCCCTGAGGGCCATCCTGCCTCTTCTGCCAGGTGGGCATCTCTGGTGGGGGCGCCTCGATCTCGGTGGGTCGCCCACCTCTGTCTGGCACGCATCCCATCAGAACCTGCTCAACATGAAACAAAAAAAGAAGACCAATCGTTCATGTTCATCAAGAGAATGTGTACAAGCCAAGGGGTGTTTTCTGACATAAGGTCTATCTACAAGAAACTCATGGACAATTTGGACACAGATATAAAATAGGAATACATTTTTTTAAAGTTAGTCAAAATTATCAAAGTTACAACAGATTGCCATAGATTTTCTGTTAATTACCAAAATTAGTGAAGATTCTGGTAACTTTGGTAAATTACCAGTAGCTTTGCATTTGCAACCCTATTTCTGACAGCACAGCCAAAGTAGCCTAAATAATGTTCATATTTTTTTGACATGAAGTATGAAAAAACTATGTGACAGCAGCACGCAAGGTGACAATGAGATAAAGGTTAACAGTTAGCAAGTGCTAAGTACAAATCTGCTCCCTACCTTGTTAATGGCACAAGCAGTGCGCTCCCTCATCCTGCCACTACTTGTGCGCATAATCTTGGAGAGGTCCTCTCGTGCAGCAAAGAGGTGAGCCACAGAGACTTTGCTCTTTGTGGCTAGGGTTGAACGCAGAGGTGGGTATACATTGGCCAGCTTTTCAGCATGTTTCTGTGTAACAATAGAAGTACATCATTCTTTACAGTACTCAATTGTTTACATCCAAAACATTTTTTGTGAATGCTGTAAATGAATAACAAACTACAACCACAACCAGTTATACTTTGAATAATTGTAACAATCTTCCCAGTACAGAGGTCTCACCTTAGCTTTGTCCGACCAACCAAAGGACTGAACGGTCACGTCAAGACGTTTCAACAACATCTTCCTTCGGACTTCATACTCATTCACAAGTGCTTGATTGATGGCTTCAATTTTGTCCTGTAAAAGAGATCATATGTACAATGTACAGTATAGTATGCCGCTTAAGAATGTTTGTTGTTGTAACTAAACACATATTCAACCAAAAATATTTTTGTTTGAAGTGGGAAATGTATTCCGCTATGCACATCTTTATTGTTTTTAAGAGTCATACAAAGTGAACTGGTCCAAGTGCCTTCTTCATCAGAGGACCCCCAACATGAGTTAATGGCACTTTGGTTAGAGCTTCTTTCAGCTGAGGAAAAAAGGAAAGACATTAATGTTGGGGAAAAACAGACCTTAGCTAAAGTGGAGCTGCATCCAACAAAAAGACACAGACCTATCATGAAATCAAAAAAGCATTCTGCCATAGCCTGGTGTGACATGGACTGACCTTCTTCTCGATCCCACTGAAGAACTGGAACATGGTGATGTTGGCTGGGGGTTTGGACATGCCCAGGGACACACAGATCCCCTTCAGCTCCATAAAGACAACACTGCCCCTGGCCTCCTGGGCTGCCTTCTGAGGCTTGTTGACCTGGATCATCCTTGAGGCCTCCAGCTCCGAGATCAGAAAGTCTGAGAGAGAGAACATATCATTCAAGAGGCAATCATCATACAGTCTTAATATGAATTTGTTAAATGATAGGGAAACTGACAACACAGAGAGAAGCTGTTCACATACTGATGAGCAGTAGGCAATTTGTCTTGTTGAGGAGCCTCTGGGTAACATCTCCTGTGATGAGGACCTTGTAAGGACATGCCAGCTCAGAAAGAAGACCACTCATCTCCAGCTGGAACCCCTCTGCCTCACTGGGACCTGGGTGGGGTAGATGGAGAGTTCGTGCAAGAACTCAGGGAACTACAACTACATTTTTTAATTAAGTTTACAAACACTGAGATGGGTTAAGATGAAAACCGACTCACAGTTGGTGGCATGGACATTCTCCTCCAGGTGACAGTAGAGCTTGAGCTCTGAGACGATCCAGGCACACAGCTTGGTAAACTCTGGTGCTGGTGCTCCCCCGCTCACCGCAGCCTCCAGTGCTCCATCATCCAACAGAGGGCCTTGGTACCTGAGAAAACATTGACAGTAACCTCATAAGACTTTCACTAAAAACCTATACTTACCAGTTTATCTAGCTAGTCATTAACAAAAGAAGCTGCGTGTGTGCTTCAATTGACAAGGTCCCCTTACTGGACTGATTTGACTGTGAATAGCAACCAGACATGAGATAAGTGGGACCTTCTGGCATATCTACTATATTCCAGCTTCAGTGTATATTCATAAAACTGAGGCGGTGCCAGCCCTCTGATTGTGCCCGCTGAATCGCAACATCAAACGGTTGGCATGATAGGGTATACATTCAGCCAAAATAGATATGTCGTGACGCTGTCACCACTTATACAGTGCATTCGGAAAGTATTCAGACCCCTTGACTTTTCCACAGTTCGTTACGTTACAGCCTTATTCTAAAATGGATTACATTTTTTAAAATCCTCATCAATCTATACACAATACCACATAATGACAAAGCGAAAACAGGTTTTTAGAAATTTTTGCAAATGTAAAAAACTGAAATACCTTATTTACATAAGTATTCTATAGTATTGCTATGAGACTCGAAATTGAGCTTAGGTGCATCCTGTTTCCATTGATCATCCTTGAGATGTTTCTACAACTTGGAGTCCATCTGTGGTAAATTCAATTGATTGGACATGATTTGGAAAGGCACACACCTGTCTATATAAGGTCCCACAGTTGACAGTGCATGTCAGAGCAAAAATTGAAGAAGTTTGGAAGCACCAAGAATCTTCCTTGAGATGGCCGCCCGGCCAAACTGAGCAATCGGGGGAGAAGGGCCTTGGTCAGGGAGGTGACCAAGAACCCGATGGTCACTCTGACAGAGCTCTGGAGTTCCTCTGTGGAGATAGGAGAACCTTCCAGAAGGACAATGGGAGAACCTTCCAGAAGGACAACCATCTCTGCAGCACTCCACCAATCAGGCCTTTATGGTAGAGTGGCCAGACGGAAGCCACTCCTCAGTAAAAGGTACATGACAGCCGCTTGGAGTTTGCCAAAAGGCACCTAAAGGTCTTTCAGACGATGAGAAACAAGATTCTCTGGTCTGATGAAACCAAGATTGAACTCTTTGGCCTGAATGCCAAGCGTCACGTCTGCAGGAAACCTGCCACCATCCCTACGGTGAAGCATGATGGTGGCAGCATCATGCTGTGGGGATGTTTTTCAGCGGCAGGGACTGGGAGACTTGTCAGGATTGAGGGAAAGATGAACGGAGCAAAGTACAGCGAGATCCTTGATGAAAACCTGCTCAGGACCTCAGACTGGGGCGAAGGTTCACCTTCCAACAGGACAACGACCCTCAGCACGCAGCCAAGACAACGCATGAGTGTCTTCGGGACAAGTCTCTGAATGTCCTTGAGTGGCCCAGCCAGAGCCCGGACTTGAACCCGATCGAACATCTCTGGAGAGACCTGGAAATAGCTGTGCAGCGACGCTCCCCATCCTACCTGACAGAGCTTGAGAAGATCTGCAGAGAAAAATGGGAGAAACTCCCCAAATACAGGAGTGCCAAGCATACCGAAGATGACTCGAGGCTCTAATCGCTGTCAAAGGTGCTTCAAAGTACTGAGTAAAAGGTCTGAATACTTATGTAAATGTAATATCAGTTTTTTTTTTTTATACATTTGCACATTTTTTTTTTTAACCTTTATTTAAACTAGGCAAGTCAGTTAGGAACAAATTCTTATTTACAATGACGGCCTACACCGGCCAAACCCGGACGACGCTGGGCCAATTGTGCGCCGCCCTATGGGACTCCCAATCACGGTCGGTTGTAATACAGCCTGGAATCAAACAAGGGGGTCTGTAGTGACGCCTCAAGCACTGAGATGCAGTGCCTTAGACCACTGCGCCACTCGGGAGCTTTTTGCTTTTTTGATTTGTCATTATGGGGTATTTTGTGTAGATTGATGACGGGGATAAAAAAAAAAGAATAAGGCTGTAACGAATAAGGCTGTAACGTAACAAAATGAAGAAAAAGTCAAGGGGTCTGAATACTTTCCGAATGCACTGTATATCCATAAAAATTATGCCAGCTGATTCATGATTTCGACTGGCTGAGAAACGCTGCTTGACTGTCACGTCCCGACACGTTCATTACTATGGGACAGCTGGAGATCGAATTTGAATATTGAACCAATGTTGCAAATGTCGGCGAGACAGAGATCAAGGTTTATACAAATCTTCACTGTTGAAAACTAAATGTTAGTCTAAAAGAAACGTGAGATAATGTCTAGATGCTTTTTATAGTGTTGATCAAATTCATAAATTGCCTGGCTGGGCTGATGAGACCGTGGATTGCGCAGTCAGATGGAACAGAATAAATAGTCATTTTAACGTCATAGATGAAAAATGTATGCACTCACTAATTGTAAGTCGCTCTGGACAAGAGTGTCTGCTAAATGACTAAAATGTAAAAATGTAGATTTAGCCGGTGGTAATTTGTGGAATAGACACCGGCTGGAATGCGGTTTTAACCAATCAGCATTCATGATTAGAACCACCCGTTGTGTAATTGTATTCACACTGCCCTTGCCTTTGAATGAGGACTGAACTATTTTGCCAGTTCACTTCACCTATTTTGTGGTCAGAGTGCTCTTTGCATTCACATTGCTATGTTATATATAACTTTTTCCAACATTCTCTCAATGCACTCTGGGTTTTTACAAAGTGCAGGACAAGCCATTCCATCAGATTGTGTTGGGGAGTAGTAAACTACATGTAGTGTAACTAGTAATTTAACTACATTTTACAGTAACTGTTTTCCCCCCATGTAGTGGTGTAGCTAACTACTGGAACTACTCACTACTTTTTTTTGCAAAAAAAAAAGATAAATGGGATAAGTTGGCAGGAATTTCCTTTCTTTTTTTGGTGGCAGACCAGTCTAAATCTCAAATGAAACAGTTTGTGTTTAATAGGCTAAAATACTCATTCTGTTAACATCTGACTCCAGAGTGATTTGTTCTTGCAATTTGTAGTCTATGACATTTCAGATTTAGATAATACTTTTTCACATAGTAGTTTGGATGTAGTTGACTATTTCGTTAAGTAACTTTAGTTAAGTAAACTATATTTTTCTTAAGGATAGCGTTAGTGTAGCTTAACTTCTTCTAGTGTGAAGTAATTGGTAGCTTGGTAAACTATATTTTCAGAGTAGCTTCCCCAACACTGGTTATCGGACAGCTAGATAGACTTACTTACATTTTGGAAGCTAATAGATTGCATTTAGTTAAAAGATAAGGCATAATAATTACAATCAGAAGATAATATTAACATGTAAATATTATTGGTAATAGAATAACTAGCAGAAGAATACTGCAGATTAAATAAGGATTGATTTTGTGGTTAGTGCTATCCGGGATCCTTGGGACATCCCTACCCTAAATCCTAACCTTAACCCCTACCCTAATCTTAACCATTTTAAATGGCTACTTCAATGGGGTAACATCAGAGTTTGGACGTCCCAAGGATCCCTGATAGCAAGGGCCTTGATTTTGTATCCTATGTTGTGATTCTCACCAAATATGTCGTCTTCTTACACTTTTCAAACCACACAATCGAATAAACCGCTTATGAAGCTCTTTTAGCCTCTAGATCACATATAGCAAACAAATAATCGAAACATTGTGTCAGTACAAAACGTCACACATATTTGTGCATTGCTGTGCATCTTTGACAACCGCTAATCAATATCCAAAAACAGCACACATTTTTTCCACGAACCTGCACATTATCATCTCTCTTTTGTGGCACCAATGTGAGGGGTTATGGCAGGGAAAACGGTGTTGCAGTAGTCTAGTGCAGGGTGTCCCAAACTCGGTCTTGGGCCGCTCTTGGCACTACACAGCTGATTCAAATAACCAACTCATCATTACATTTTAGTCATTTAGCAGACACTCTTATCCAGAGCGACTTACAGTTAGTGAGTGCATACATTTTCATACTGGCCCCCCGTGGGAAACTAACCCACAACCCTGGCGTTGCAAGCGCCATGCTCTACCAACTGAGCTACAGGGGATTACATCTAGTTCTGATTATTTTAATCAGTTGTGTAGTGTTAGGCAGTGTTTGACTTGAACTGAAATAGGTGCCGGTACTCATTTTGGGTGCCAGTAATGTTTACATTTAGATGCAGGAGCTCCAGAATACTTTTGAGATACTATTCTTTAAGCGGTGCAGGAGCTCAAGCAGTAGAACATTTGAGGGTATTCAGCTCCGGTGAGCTCCTGCCCAAGTCAAGCACTGGTGCTAGGGCAAAACCCAAACCCAAAGTGTGAAGGGTGCAGGACTGTGTTTGGGAAACCCTGGTCTAGTATGTAGTGTGGGAATAATGACAAGCGAACCTGGGTAATGTTTGTGTTCACATTGCGCAAAAAAAAAAAAAGGAACGGACCATGGAATTCAAGCGAACCGAACTCAGACCACCTCTTAAGATGGTCTCAGTTCGGTTCACTTCGGTGGCTCTTTTGAGGGGTCTGAGTTCCTTTGGAGTATTCACACTGCACAAAAAATTCAGTGAACAGCACTGAGTTCACAAATTGTCTGAAAGGGACCAAGTGTGAAAACACCCTTAATGTAACCATGATTGAGTTCCAACCCCAGTGCAGCTCAGTGTAAACTAGCGTAACGGTAGGATCGTTATCTTATGACAATTTACTGCTCAGCCAAATGTCTCTGGTTGACAGCCGTACGATGACAGGCAGTCAACTTAACAGCGAAGTTAGCTGGCTAGCGAAAACATAATCAGATAGACTAAATAAAGACTATTCTCATCGAAAAAATTGTTAAACCTACCCCAGATCTTCCATTGAGTCACGAATATTTGTTTCCATTTCAGTGATTAATCTTCAATTGATTAAACCACAACAACAAGCTGAAATTTCACTGAAGTACAACACTTGTGCTGGGTTGGCATGCTAGGGTCCTAACCTGACCTCTTACCAGCGATAGGGCTGGCCGATACAATGCCTGTGCAGATTGCCTCATCGAGTAGGATTTACATTTTCAAGTATTAGTGACATGTGCTATAATCATTTGACGTGCACCGAATAAAAAATACAGCCGAATAAATTTCCCATACAGGTACAAAATATATATTTGGATCCTGGAGACAGGGTGCCAGGCTGCCAGCATAGATATAAAAACATGGACCATGCAACCTACAGATACAGTCATTGAAAGAGATAGAGAAAGCTGTCCTCTGCCATTTGTGTTATAACTCTAGCTATAAATGGTCGTATCGGCCCAGACAAGGTCTCTCCAGCCAGTACTGCGCTGACCAGCTCCACTGTTTTCACGGACATAGGCCTATTCAACCAGTCACTAGAATAATGCACTGTTCCTGCCTGTTAAAAATCTTGCATCATTGTTCCAGTCCCGAAAAAACAAAAGGTGTCCTTCCTGAACGACTACAGACCTGTAGCGCTCACCATAAAGCGCCTGGTACTGTCACATCTCAAAACCATCACTGACGCCTCCCTCGACCCACTCCAGTTTGCCTACAGAGCTAACAGGTCTGTAGATGACGCTGTCAACATGGGCCTACACTACATCAAACACCTCGATAACCCAAAGACATATGCAAGGATATTGTTTGTGGACTTTAGCTCTGCGTTCAATACCATCATCCCAGAACTCTCAGGATCAAGGAATGAATCTAGTACTGAAAGCATAAGCTACAGGTAGCTAGCACTGCAGTGCATAAAATGTGGTGTGTAGTTTACTCAAAGAGAGAGAAAGACAATAGTTGTACAGTTTTAAACAAATACATGTCTTAAAAAATGAAGGAGAAGCAGCAGAGAGAGAGATGCAGCTAGCTAATTTAGACTACTTAAACACCCGGATCAAACAGAGAGGAATGTTATTTATGTTAGCTAGTTGGCTAAGGCTATCCAACACTGGAACTCTTCCAAGGTAAGCTTTCGGTTGTATTAATTTATTGCCACTGGAGCTTGCTGTACACTGTACTGCGTGATTGTAGCGGGTTTACTAACGCGTTAGATCTAGTAGCTATGTTGACTATGACGTTAGCTAATATGGTGACAATAATGTAGGCTGTGTGTAGCGGTTAGCGGTTATGGTATGAGGGTTTGGCTTAGAAAGGTTTTTTCGCCTGGTCACAGACAGCTATTGTGTTGTGCACTGAAGTTCACAAGCGAAGGGAAAAGGTGAGAGGAGGAGAGCGCGTAGATGCGAGAAGGAATTATACAATGAGCAAAGTGATGATGCTGTTTGCATGTTGCTGCTATGAAAGTGAACTGTGTGTGTGCGGGTGATCTGGGGTGTATTAATTCCGCTGATTCTCTTGAAAAATGTTTCTTAAACGGAAGCAAACAGAACCAAACGAGGATAAGCCTACCTGAATTTGTACAATATAAACTCTCGTTTGCAACTCTTTGGACTAATGATTACAGCCTAGATCAGCTAGATGTAGGCAAGAGTGTGCAAGGAGGTTTTGAATGTGTGTCTGTCACCTTGATTACTCCAATTTGTCTCTCGACCTGTGCACCTAAGTTATAAACTTTCATTCGTCGGCTAGGTTGTAGCAACCTCATGATGGGTATAGGGAACATTAGAGTATCATGTAGTAGCCTAAACCTATCTATGTTACATTGAAGTTGGTGAATGGAATATGATATGCTCTAATAGAAATAAGGCCATGCTCATAAAAATTAAAAGATTGTCCTCCCTAATCTTAAACGGCACCGACCGCCATTGCTGAACGTGTCCAGCTCCATCTGTCAGTGGATCACTGACTTCCTGTCCAACATGACACACGTGAACGCCAAGGTAACCTGTCTAAATGACTACCGCCCCGTAGCACTCACATCTGTAGCCATGAAATGCTTTGAAAGGCTGGTCATGGCTCACATCAACACCATCATCCCAGAAACCCTGGACCAACTCCAATTCGCATACCGCCCAAACAGATCCACAGATGATGCAATCTCTATTGCACTCCACACCTTTCCCACCTGGACAAAAGGAACACCTACATGAGAATGCTTGTTTATACACTGCAGCTCAGCGTTCAACACCATAGGGGCCCTCCAAGCTCATCACTAAGGTTAGGTCTCTGGGACTGAACACCTCCCTCTGCAACTGGATCCTGGACTTCCTGAGGGGGCCGCCCCCCAGGTGGTGAGGGTAGGCAACAACACATCCGCCACTCTGACCCTCAACACGGGGGCCCCTCAGTGGTGTGTGCCTAGGTCCGCCCTGTACTCCCTGTTCACCCACGACTGTGTGGCCGCGCACAACTCCAACACCATCATCAAGTTTGCAGATGACACGATGGTGGTGGGCCTGATCACCAATGACGATGAGACAGCCTATAGGGAGGAGGTCAGAGACCTGGCAGTGTGGTGCCAGGACAACAACCTCGCCCTCAATGTGGGCAAGACAAAGGAGCTTATCATGGACTACAGGAAATGGAGGGCTGAACACGCCCCCATTCACATCGACAGGGCTGTAGTGGAGCGGGTTGAGAGCTTTAAGTTCCTCGATGTCCACATCGCTAAGGACCTATCATGGTCCAAACACAACAACACAGTCGTGAAGAGAGATCGACAATGCCTCTTCCCCTCAGGAGGCTGAAAGGATTTGGCATGGGCCCTCAGATCCTCAAAAAGTTCAACAGCTGCACCATCGAGAGCATCTTGATTGACTGCATCACCGCTTGGTATGGCAACTGCTCGGCATCCGACTGCAAGGCACTACAGAGGGTAGTGCGTGGGGTCGAACTCCCTGCCATCCAGGACCTCTATACCAGGCGGTGTCAGAGGAAGGCCCTCAAAGACTCCAGTCACCCAAGTCATAGACTGTTCTCTCTGCTACCACACGGCAAACAGTACCAGAGTGCTAAGTCTGGGACCAAAAGGCTCCTGAACAGCTTCTACCCCCAAGCCATAAGACTGCTAAATATACTGAACAAAAATATAAACGCAACATGCAACAATTTCTAAGATTTGACTGAGTTACAGTTCATATGAGGAAATCAGTCAATTGAAATAAATGCATTAGGCCCTAATCTATGGATTTCACATGACTGGGAATACAATATGCATCTGTTGGTCACAGATACCTTTAAAAAAATGGCCTCACAATGGGCCTCAGGAACTCGTCACGGTATTTCTATGCATTCAAATTGCCATCGATAAAATGCAATTGTGTTGGTTGTCCGTAGTTTATGCCTGCCCATACGATAACCCCACTGCCACCATGGGGCACTCTGTTCACAACATTGACATCATCAAACCGCTCGCCCACACGACGCGATACACGTGGTCTGCGGTTGTGAGGCGGTTTGGACGTACTGCCAAATTCTCTAAAATGACATTGGGGGCAGTTTATGGTAGAGAAATGAACATTCAATTCTCTGGCAACAGCTCTGGTGGACATTCCTGCAGTCAGCATGCCAATTGCACACTCCCTCAAAACTTGAGACATCTGTGGCATTGTGTTGTGTGACATAATTGCATATTTTAGAGTGGCCTTTTATTGTCCCCAGCACAAGGTGCACCTGTGTAATGATCATGCTGTTTAATCAACTTCTTGATATACCACACCTGTCAGGTGGATGGATTATCTTGGTAAAGGGGAAATGCTCACTAACAGGGATGTAAACACATTTGTGGCCACAATTTGAGAGAAATAAGCTTTCTGTGCGTATGGAACATTTCTGGGATCTTTTATTTCAGCTCATGAAACATGTGACCAACACTTTACATGTTGCGTTTATATTTTTGTTCAGTGTAGTTAACCAAATAGCTACCCGGACTATCTGCAGTAACCCTTTTTACACTAACTCGTTTTGACTCTATGCGCACACACTGGACTCTACCCACACACTCATACATACTTACACTGACACTTCAACACATACACACACACACTCACACATATCACTTACACACAGGCATACATTTGCCACATACACACTTACACACTCATGACATACACTGCTGCTATGCTCTATTATCTATCCTGTTGCCTAGTCACTTTACCCCTACCTACAGTGCATTCGGAAAGTATTCAGACCCCTTGAATTTTTTCCACATTTTGTTATGTTACAGCCTTGTTCTAAAATCGATTCAATCGTTTTCCCCCCCTCATCAATCTACACACAATACCCCATAATGACAAAGCAAAAACAGGTTTTTAGAAATGTTTGCTAATTTATAATTTTTTAAAAACAGAAATACCTTATTCACATAAGTATTCAGACCTGCTATGAGACTCGAAATTGAGGTCAGGGGTATTCTGTTTCCATTGATCATCCTTGAGATGTTTATACAACTTGATTGGAGTCCACCTGTGGTCAATTAAATTGATTGGACATGATTTGAAAAGGCACACACCTGTCTATATATGGTCCCACAGTTGACAGTGCATGTCCGAGGAAAAATCAAGCCATGAGGTCGAAGGAATTGTCCGTAGAGCTCCGAGACAGGATTGTGTCGAGGCACAGATCTGGGGAAGGGTAGCAAAACATTTCTGTAGCATTGAAGGTCCCCAAGAACACAGTGGCCTCCATCATTCTTAAATGGAAGAAGTTTGGAACCACCAAGACTCTTCCTAGAGCTGGCCGCTCGGCCAAACTGAGCAATCGGGGGAGAAGGGCCTTGGTCAGGGAGGTGACCAAGAACCCGATGGTCACTCTGACAAAGCTCCAGAGTTCCTCTGTAGAGATGGGAGAACCTTCCAGAAGGACAACCATCTGCAGCCTCCACCAATCAGGCCTTTATGGTAGAGTGGCTATACGGAAGCCACTCCTCAGTAAAAGGCACATGACAGCCCGCTTGGAGTT